GGGAGGCAGGTTGCCCAGGGGCTCACCGTGGACCCTGACGATGGCGCTGCTGCTGGAACCTGCGACCTCGCACTTGTAGCGCCCGCCGTCCTGCAAGGTGACGCCTGTGATGACCAGCTGGGCACGGCCGCCCTCCTGGCTGAGCTGGCAGTGTGTGGATGGCCGCAGGGCCTTTCCATCCTTGGTCCAGGACACTGGGCTGTCAGGGGCAGTGGTCTCGCAGGCAAGGGTCAGGTCCTCGCCCTCAGTGACGGTGGTGTCCATGAGCTCCTGGGAGAAGGCGCTGGGCCTCTCTGGGGACAGAGGGCACAGTACGTGGGCTCCTGCAGCCGCCAGCACGCCCCAGGCAGGGCCGAGAGGTCGTGGGGTGAGGATGGGCTGTGGTGGCTGCCGTTGGCCAGAGCACGCCACCCGGGCCCCCCTGCCCCCGGCAGCCGTGCAGCCCTCCAAGCCCACCTCCAAGCCCGGGACGTGAGGCCCCAGCTGGGGCACACACCACCTGCCCAAGCCGCTGTCTGAGGCTGTGGCCGGGTGCCCACCCGCCCACCCACCTGTGACCCGCAGGGCAGCTGAGGTCCGCTGGTCGCCCGCCTCGAAGTGGACAGTGCCCTCGTCCCTGAGCGCCAGCTGCCGCAGCGTCAGAACATGGTAACCACCTGGCTGGACCTCGATCTCACTGCGCTCACTGGGGTGCAGGGGGGTCTTGTCCAAGAACCACTGGACGGGCCCGAAGTCAGCGGGAGAGACGCAGCAGCGGAAGGAGGCGGAGGAGCCCTCTGGCACCTCCACGGCCTCCAGGCCCTCGGAGATGAGCACCTTCTGGCCTGCAGGGCACAGGCCAGCATGTTAGGGGCACGCAGGGAGGGGCCCCAACTCCTGAGTGGTGTCAGCCACAGAGCCAGCCCCTACCGCACCCCAGAAGGGCTCTGGGAGGAAGACCTGAGTGAGCCGGCCGGGACCCCGTGACCTGAGTACAGCTGCCATTTCCCTGCCTGCCAAATGGGCAAAATGACCCCTGCCCCGCCCCAAGCCTGGAGGCCCCAGTGCAGCCCCGCATGCCAGGGCCCCGCGCTCGGGCAGGCACCTCCTCCCGCTGGGCACACGCCCCGGGACATGCACACAGGAGGACCCAGGGAGACCGCCAGGCAGCCCCCACTGAGGAGGGAGAACAGGCCTGGGCGTGCCCACGCCAGCAGGGCTGGCCGCCGGCCCCGGGCCCGGGCCTCACCGAGCACCAGGAGCCGCGCCTGGGTGCGGGCCTGGCCGATGTCACAGGTGTAGGTGCCGCTGTCCCCCTGCCCCAGGGCGCTGATGGTCAGCCGCAGGGTCAGCCCGTCCTGGCTGAGCGCCAGCCGCCCTGACGGCCGCAGCTCCGCATGGTCTTTGCGCCAGGTCACACTGGCCGCGGGCAGCGCCGTCCGGCACTGGAGCACGGCGGTGCCTTTCTCCTCCAGCTGCAGGTCGCTCAGCTCCTCCGTGAACCCGTTTGCTGTTTCTGGGGGAACGGGCAGGGTGAGCCGCGCAGGTCACGCTCCGGCCCGGCACCGGCCAGCCCGGGAGGCCACCCGGCGGCTCACCCTCCACGCAGAGCCTGGCGGAGCTGCGGACGCCCTCGGCCTCGCACGTGTACTCGCCCGAGTCCGCGGGCGCGGCGGCCCGGACCACCAGCACTGTGTGTGCGCCCTCCGTGAGCACCTGGAACTTGGGGCCCTGGCGAATGGCCTTCCCGTCCCGCAGCCAGCGCACCGGGGCGCCCGCCCGCGACAGCTCGCAGCTCAGACGCACGTCCTCACCCGGTGCGGCCTGCTGGTCCGCCAGCGGCCTGGCGAAGTCGGCCGGCCTCTCTGCAGGGAGCCGGGTGGCCAGCTGACGCGGCATCTCCACCAGCCAGCCAGGCCCGCAGGGCTGGGAGCCAGAGGCCTCGAGCACCGCCCAGAGCCCCAGGGCCGCGCAGCGGCTCGTGCCCGGGGCCACTGGTGGTGCCAGGTGCTCCTGAACCTGCCACCGTCACCCACGCGTCCCACCCCAGCCCGGACCCTGCTGCTCACACAGCACCCCCCACCCCACCCCACTCCCCGCGGGCGCCTCTGCAGCCCCTGGGAAGGCCCGGCCCAGCCCCGCGGGCACCCACCCCTGACGATGAGCGAGGCCTTGGAAGAGAGGCCCCGCAGGGAGAAGACCACCTCCCCGGCGTCGCCAGGCGCGGCCTCCCGGATGGCCAGGGTGTACTTGCGGCCCTGGCGCGTGGCCCGGAAGCGACCGGAGGTGCCCACGGGCTGTCCCCCCAGGGTCCACACGGCTGCGTCGCTGGCATTCTCGTGGGACAGGACGCACTCGAAGCTGCAGCTCTCGCCCTCCTGCACCTCTACCGTCTTCAGTCTCTTCGTGATGCCCACGTGCAGGTCTGCGGACAGGCAGACTGGTCACTCTGGCCCACATGATCAACCCCGGGGTAGCACCCCGTTCTGCCGTCCCTGTACCCTCAGGAACGCCACAACCCCAAGCCGCGGCGGCAGGCGCAGCACAGCTGGAGGACCAGCCCTGCGGCCCCAGACCCCGCCCCCGGGGCGGGCCTGTCCGGAGGTCGAGGACCCTCCAGGGGATGGAGGGGGCCGGTCCTAAGGAAGCGAAAGGGGGGGGGAGGTAACGGGGGAGGGACGGTGCAGGCATGTGGGTGACGGTGGCGTGAGAGTGGTGCAAACCACACATGTGGAGGAGTCAAATGTGGCCCCAAAACGTTCAAGACAAAAACTAGGTACTTTTGGCGACCAGACCCCCATGGCAAGAAGAATAAAGCCGTCAACACGTCATCTGAAGCTCAAACAGCGGCGCTCGCCTCGGGGAGCGCGCTGAAGGGAGCAGGGACTGCGT